CTGTGGACTCGGTGCATAAAATTTCATTGGGCAACAGTAATAAGCATGACCAGATGATGTTTGGGCAGTTGGGGAGCTTTGTGCCCAGTGAATCCAGCTGCATGGGGACCTGGGCACCATAAACTTGCCTGCACGTTTATGCCCGCAGGCTAGTTCAGGGCCCACTGCCAGTGGCTCTTTTCCTTGGGATCTGTATCTGGTAGAAACTCGGTATTTGGACCCTTTGTGCCAGGAGCCTTTGCCCTTTTCTTTGCCAGACTAGTGGATCCATGTATCTACTGATAGCCACTAACCTTGGGCTCCTAAGACTGTTGAATAAACACGTGGCCTTGAGCAGTAACTACCATCCTACCCACCTCTACAAGGTTCCAAGCTTTGCCTTCTCAGGAATGAGTCAAGGTCTCTAGGAAAATATGTACAGTTGGCACCCATGTATTTAGAAGCCTCAGAGTCCATTTCTAGTTCTGTTCTTGGCTTGTTGCATGATTGAGCAAATCCTTTTTCTTCGATGAATCTGTTTCCTCGTTTGTGTAGGGGATGGTGACCACTCTAACTGCCTTGTGTTCTCTATGCTGGGGTAGGATTGAATGATAAAGATGTTTAGCTGTCTTCCCATGAGACACCTGGAAGTTCAAGTTCCAGCTCTTGGTTCTGTCTTTCATGAAGTTGAGTCTGAGCCCTGCTATATTTGTACTGCTTATGCTGGGAGTCAGAGGAGCACTAGCAACCCTATTCCTCTCCTTGGATCTGCAAATTTCATGCATGGAGCTCCTGAATAAGATTGATGTTCCCCCTTCATACCTCAAACAGATATAGAGTACAGAGAGGCACTCAGGATTACTGTTGGGCTGTGGTGCTTTGAATGTAATTGGCCTCCATAATCTCATAAGGGGTGGTGCTGTTAGGAGGTGTGGCTTTGTTGGAGTGGGTATGGCCTTGTTGGAGGAAGTGTGTCACTGTGGGGTCAGACTTTGAGGTTTCCTATGCTCAGAATACCACCCAGTGTTTCAGTCGACTTCCTATTGCCTGAAAGATGTAGGACTCTTCAGCTACTCATGTAGCACCATGTCTGCCTGGACACCACCATGCGCCCTGCCTTGATGATAATAAGACTGAACAAACCTCTGAAACTGCAAGTGAGCCCCCACAATTAAATGCTTTCCTTTATAAGAGTTGTCGGGCTGGAGTGATGGCTCAGAGGTTAAGAGCACTGACTGCTCTTCCAGAGGTCCTGAGTTCACTTCCCAGCAACCACATGGTGGCTCACAACCACCTGTAATGAGATCTGGTGCCCTCTTCTGGCCGGCAGTCATATATGCTGTATACATAATAAATAAATAAATCAAAAAAACAAAAACAAAAAACACTGTTTAAAAAAAAAAAGAGTTGTCATGGTCATGGTGTTTCTTCACAGCAATAAAAACCCTAATGAAGACGTGCGCTGTGTTCAGCTATGAATGACTGTTGAGACGATCTTTCTTTCCGGTCTGTTCTCACTGTGGCTCCTATGGAGAGGAGCAGGCGGGATTCCACTGGTCTAGACCCCTCCTAACTGGAGGTGATGTCTATAACTGTCATGTACCATTGAAATCCCACAGAAAAGGGACTCCCTGTTCTCCAGAGCTAGCCAGAACCAACAGGGCTCATGACATACCACCTAAAGTCATTAGAAGGTGGCTGGGGTTGGCTACAGGAAAATAAGACAGGGGCTGCTTCCCTTTTTTGATTAGGCCCCTGTGTTCCTCCTGCTTCAGGTGGCCTCTTTACAACCAGACCTCAGTGTGATTTCTCTGAAACAGTGAGCTTAGCAATCACTATGCAAAGGGTAAGGAACATCAAAGAAAAAGAAGGAAATGATATGGTTCAAATGGTCCAATTACAGTTTGCTTCTCAGGAGACTCCATTCCAGCTGCTCAAGCTACCTCTTACCCTTAGAAACCTTGTTTGATGGCATCGTGTCCTTGGTCCTTGGCACACCACTATTTGGGCACACCACCTCTGGGTGCCCCTTCACCAGCCAGAAATTCTCCTCCAGAAAGCTAGTTATAGGTAACGTTGCTGTGCCAACTGTGTTTGAAAGGAACCTGCTTCTCAGGAAAGACAGCCAGGTGTGGTGGCGCAGCCTTTAATCTCAGCACTCAGGAAGCAGAAGCATGCAGATCTCTGAGAGTTTGAGGCCAGCCTGGTCTACAGAGAGAATTCCAGGACAACCAGAGCTATGTAGAGAGACCCTGTCACAAAAGAAAAGAAAAACATAATGCATTTTGTAAAAGTGAATCCTTAGTTTAATTCCTGAAACTCAGAGGTCAAATTGCTGTTAGTATCTGTCAAATATTTGAAGGGTGATGAAGGAACAGCTGGATTTTCCTTCAGCTCTCTGAGGTGAACCTGTCATTTCAACTGGATTCTCACAGCCC